GGACAATTACATGATGGGCCGAGCTGAGGCCTGTCAATTCATTAAGGGTAATTTTTTTAATTAATTGCCAACCTTGTCATTAATCCCTCTTAAATGATCATAATCCTACAATCTCTTCTCAGAATTCAATTTTTTTTTACATTCTATTTATTGAGTGTGACAGATAAATTTAATTTGAACATAAATATAAATAAATAAATAAATAAATAAATAAATAAAATTAGTGGTTCTAAATAAGTATCTCTTATCAACAAACAACGAGAAACTGTCTAATTACGTGATTGTTTACATCAACTGAGGCCGAAAGCCAAAGCACACACATGGATAATAAATTCATAAGCGGGCTTTACGTATTTGAGAATTTCAAATTTTCTTGGCTGATTATTCATCTCTCTTTTTGTAAAACTTTAGCTTAAGAAAAAAAAAATCATATTATTGGCCTAGCTGATACGCTAAATTTAGGAACTTATTTAAAAAATAATAAATAAAAAATAAGGTAAATATAGATTATCCTGGTTTTCTCAATACAAATATAAATAATAAAGGAGGCGGCCCCCTAATCATATATTTAATGAACTAATTATCGTAAAAAAGAGCTTAGACGAGAGCAGCCAAATGATTAGGTTAACGTGGACAGCCAGAAAACGAAAGCAGGTTTTATTCGGTCGGTGTCTATACTTGATTATAATGTCGGAAAGAGATGCGGGTCAATCATAAGGTTTTGTTCCAAAAGAATAACGTTGTCGCCATCATTAAATTGTAGGCCACCTGAGTTGATTAGTTTGTTGGAGTCAAGAACAACTTCCAAAGTTTCTCGATTTATAGCTTAAGAACCTTTCTTTCGCAAAGCCAATACAGGCTATAACTATTGGAGGAAAAAAATAATACTTGATTACTTGTAAACCAACCAAAATTACTATGAATATTAGTAATAAATTAAATGTTTCTGACCTTTGCCATCATTTTGATACATAATTGGGAGGTTAGTATACCTCACTTCTTCACGACCTATTATTTCTATGAATTCCACGAGTTTAGTCATTTTATGTCTTAGCATCATACCGCATGTAGTACTTCATCATATTATCTTCTCTCCCTCACTATCTCAATTTCCACTGCAGGGTGGTATTTTTCTGTCTCATTGTTTTCAATGTATGGTTGAAAGCACTTTTTTATGGAATTTAAGAGCCCTATTCTAATAGGAGGATTTATGTTATAGAATTTTTGTATGCTCTTAGGAGATTTTATGATTTCCTAGAAAGCAAAGAAGTTGTCCATTTAGTTTCATTCTATGTATGATTTTATTGGTTTAGTTTCATATATAATTTCTTTCACTTTAATCAGATTAACAAATATTTCAATCAGACTCTTTCATTAAATGTGCTCTCTTTCACTCAACTTTCTGCTTTCGCTCAACACAACAAACAATCAATTTTCATGACTGAAAATATCTCTAAAGATTTGTTTCTATTCTATTGTATTTACTATGAGGAAGAGTATCATTTTTTATTCAACTCAAACTTGTTTAATCATTTTGGTCAAATTTGCTATATAACATCTTGTATATTGTACCTGGCTACGGTAAATCCTATATCGTGCACGCAATTAACCAATACATTTTAACCAAACCTTTTTTAATAAAAATTAAATCTTATCCAGGAGTGCAAGACCATGAAAACATAAAAAATATATATTTTATTTTATTTGAGAGCAACCACTGCCACACAATCCTTATGTATGATATCAAGTATGTGTTAGCACTAATCTTGAGTAGATCTAACAACAAAGGAGAGTACACCAACATAATATTGTGAGGCCCACTTATGTTAACAGATGAAATTATTCAAGCCAAACCATTGAGGCAGGAGATAACCACACCATGGGGCAAACAAAAGACGATCAAAGAACATCAGAACGAGCCACTTGGTAAAAACAAGACAAAAGAGTATTCAAGTCAACTGTCACGACAAAGCCGATCTAATTGTAGATTCGGTTCCCTAATATCTCTAACTATCCCAAGGACACTCATAGACTTCCCATCATAAGTCAAGGATCAACAAACAGTCCATAATTAACTTGTCGAAACCCATATCGACCAAGCGCAATCAGTCGAGACAATCTTGCTGATCCAAATCCAATTAAAGCTCTATGGATCGAACTCGAAAACAGCTAAGCAACAGACTCATATCTGTAAATTACCAATAACATCATTTGCAACCCCTTTAAAAAATTAGCAAAAATATAATAATATCAAATTTTGTTATCCCTCCTATAATAAGATAGATCATTTTATGAATAAGACACGATAGACACGTCGTGTTCCTATTTATTATTGTTAACTTATCTCACCCTCTTTTGCCCTCCCTCTCTTTTCCTCCCGGCTTAGGTTTTATTCCTTGAGTGTTTGTTCACTTTTAAAAATTAATAAGATATATTTGTTATGTGATTTTAAGTATTGAAGATTATCAATGAAAATTTAGGTGATAGATGTGTAAATATAAAAAAAAAATTGTTGTATGTATGTAAATGCCCCTTAAATTTTTTCCTTTTTTTTTTTCAAATATAAAAGCACAATGTGATTTCTCTTATAATTTAAAAATATAACTAATACTTATCAGTAAAATTTAATATAATAGAAAGTTAGATTTTAAAAATAAACGACAATACCAGTAATACGCGGTTTGGAAATCTTGTCTTGGCGGGTTCAGAATTCCGCTTGGTGGAAAAGGTGTAAATAATTCTTTTAATTAATGTTTTTTTTTTTTTTTTTTGGCTGAGAACCCAAACCTAACTATATATTATATTACATTACTATACATAATTTGTATATTAATCTCAGATTTAAAACAAATTAGAAGAAGAGTAAGTAGTTTGGACAAATACAAATGATAGGAGCTAAGTATCTAACAAAAAATATTTATATGTAAAAGACATCAATGGGGAAGAACCATGGGACTTGACTTAAATCAAAGTATTAATTACACTATATAATTGATGTTTGTGAATTAGGAGAAAGAGCATCCTAATAAAATGGAAAAGGAAGAAAGAAATAGTTTTATTTATTTTTTATGAAAGGCAATTTATAAACTACAATCTCTTACTTTTATAGAAGGGTTGAGGATAAATTAGCAATAAAGTATGATAAAATGGATAATATCATAATATTCCCCCATCAATATAGACTATGAATATTCGAGTGGTCATTTTGTGGAGAAGGGAAGGCAGGGTGATAATTGAAAGAACTTGGTGAAAATATCGACGAGCTGATGTTTACCCTAAATAAAGATTAACATGACATGACGCGAATGAATTTTATCACAAATGAATTAACAATCAATCTCTATATCCTTTGTTCCCTCATGAAATGTAAGATTGGTGGAAATATGTAAACGAAGGTATGGAGTGGGTGTTTGAATCCCAAAGTCCCCCACCAATCGTTGTAATCATGTGATCTTACTTACAAAAGTTGCTAAAGCTCCTCCTCTAATGACAAGAAAATGTTTTGCTTCTTTGTTTTTTATGAGCAGAGATTCTACTATGAAGACGTGGAATCCGATTACACATTGTCTTGTACCTTGATATAGTGGGAAAATTATTGCATACAGATATCGACGCAAATTTACGTTCGGACGTCAGTTAAAAATCACCACGTCTAAATGTTGGTTCCTCCCTTTAAAAAACAAAAATGTTATTTTTTTTTATTGCTGCGCCGCCTATCATTCCATTAAACCACGAATAGCTCCAATAAAATAGTGGAAAATACCAATACCACCGAAATACAACGCCAATAATACTGCGGAAAATCTCCAATAATACCGCTGAAAAACTTTCGCAGTGACTGGATTACTATGCAGTATAATTAAAATATTATTATGATGTTATTGTTGTTTTTTTTTACTGAAATTGTGGTTGTTGTGCTGTGTTATTCTCGAGTGAGTTATTAGGTGTTGTGTTGGCAAATTTTCCATATTTTTTGTTAACTCAATACAACTACAAGAACTCGAGTTAATACAATGACAATACAACAATGAATATTATAAAATTTTCCATATATGGTAAATGATTTTGAGTTTTATAAATAATTTCTTTTCTCTTTTCATTATTGCACGTGCTATTTTCATTTTATTAATAATTCTATCTAAATCTAACGGTTAGTATTTTTTATTAACAAATCTATCAAATAAAAAAAACAGATAAATATATATAAAAAAAAATTAATAGGGTATAAATATAAGGAAATATTTATTTGTAACCTATTACAATATTTCCTTATATTTATTTCCTTAAAAAAAGAATATTTTAAATATTCATTTTCTTATAAAGAAATAAATATAAGAAAATATTTTAATATATTTATTTCATGTTAGATATAGGGAAATATATAACTCAGGTGTTATTGTGGTGTTATAAATATTTTCTTGTATTTATTTCATTATATTACTTGAATTTTCTTATGGACGATCAATCACATTTTTTCCCTCTTCAAATAGTCCTGGCACATGGACTAACACTGAGAAAAAAAAATAGAACCAGAAGAGGATTGCAAAAAACAATTTTTAGCAGTTTGAAAAAAAAGAGAATGTTCATCACTTCTAAGATTTTGTAGTTACAAATACTAAAAGTGCAACATATGTGCTACAAACAAATATAAACTAAATTCTAGAAAATTTAAAGGGGCTTTTAAATACCAACTACTCAAAACATTTAGTTTAACATATTAACTGTAAATATTTTAAATATTACATTTTAACTGTCCAAAACTCTTACTCAAATCCTTCATTAAATGACTGTGGGTGTAATGAAAAATATTGTTAAAATATTAGATTTAAAATTTTAGTGATTAAAATGCTACATTTAATATTTTAAATAATTGATATCTAAAAATTCCAAAATTAAAATTTGTATTCAGATGAACCAGTAAGATGATGCATGCTTAAGCTTCTGTTGTACATCTATATTTAAATACATTTCATTATTCTCAAACTTCAAATCTCATAAAAAAAAACAAAAACGAAATCATTTACTGCAAAGGGAACCATTGCACACGGCCATTAATGGAAAACATTACGATTCCTTACAGCTTACTCTGCTTTTCATGGAGTTGTCAGAACTAAGTTCCGGCCCTAGACATCTATATTGAGATAAGCGGGACACGCATGTAGCCGGCGACCACCGGAGACTCCCCGTCGCCGGTACCGGTGACAGGCGAAGAAGCCGACACCTTTTCAAATGACGAAGAGGGATAGGAATGCACAAAATCCTCAAACCCCATCCCATCCTTTACTGCCGACGAACTCTCGTACTCATACAACCCCGCCGGGGGCGGCGGCGGAACGTTAGGCACCTCCGTGGTATCTCCACCATCAAGGTACCGGGCGACCTCCCTCATCGTCGGCCGCGCCACCGGAACTGGCTGCGAGCATAAAAGTCCAACCTTTATCGCAACCTCTACCTCCTCCATGTCGTAAACGCCGCGGAGCAGAGGATCAACAACATCCGGCCAACGCTTCTCACTCCACTTCTCCCAAACCCAGTCAACAAGTATAAGCTCCTCCGGCGAAGCCTTGGGCTCTATCGGCCTTCGCCCGCAAACGACCTCAAGAACCAACGCGCCAAACGCGAACACGTCGGAACTCGCCGTCGCTTTTCCTGTTCTCGTAAGCTCCGGCGCAAGATATCCGAGCGTCCCCACCACCCTCGTCGTGCTCGGGTTCGCGCCGTGTTCGTGCAGCTTAGCAAGGCCAAAGTCTCCAAGCCGACCATTAAAGTCGGCGTCTAGGAGGACATTACTTGCCTTGATATCACGGTGGATGACCACGCTTTCCCATTCTTCGTGGAGGTAGAGAAGCCCGGAAGCCACGCCACGGAGAATACGGAATCGATCGTCCCACGTGAGCACCGGCTTTGGAGCAGCCGCAGAGGGGTGGAAGAGGAACTGGTCGAGGCTGCCGTTGGGCATGTAGTCGTAAACGAGGAGGAGGTTGCTCTTATATCGGCACCAGCCTTGGAGCTGGACGAGGTTTCGGTGTCGGAGACGACCGATACTGGCGATTTCCGCTACGAATTCACGGATCCCCTGTTTTGAGTCGTGCGATATTCGTTTAACAGCGATGTCAGCACCGGAGGAAGATAGGACACCTTTGTAGACTTTACCAAAGCCACCAACACCAAGGAGTTCGCGGTCGCGGAAGCCTTTTGTGGCTCGCCGGAGGGATTTGTAGGTGAATCGATGAGGTCCGTACTCCAGCTCCCATGGTTCGATGATCTCTCTATTTTTGTAACGGTAAAAAGCGTATGAAGCTACTGCAGCTGCGATGAGGAGGACGATGATGACGGAGAGGGAGACCGAAACGGCAACAAAAGTGGGGCTCTTCTTGTTGGAAGGCCGAGGGAGAGAAGGGAGAGAAGAAAGATCGAGCGATTCCGCCGCACCGTTCATCTTAAAGCTCCACCCAAAAAGGTAATGCGAGCTCGCAAGCAAACCAGTTGAAGCTGAGAAGCCGACATACATTTCGTTGTGAAGAATCGGTGCGAGATCAATGGGGAAGGAATAGAGAGGGGTTGTTGGTTTGGAGGAGAAAGGGGAAAGCGTGAGGTTGAGAAGTTTAGCCTCTCCGTCGTAGTCGATCCAGGTTTGGATTGGATCGCCGCTTTTGAGATTAAGGGGAATCTGCTGGCCTCCAGAGTCCACGTACGATGCGGCGGCGGATTTGGAGGAGACGAGGCTGTTGACGTCCACGCCTACGTGATTGTCGTTGATGTCGTTGAATTCGAAGTCCTGCACGGTGTCGAACTCGATAGCGAAGACATGGTTGGTGGAGTTGCCGTTATCGGAGGAGTTAAGAAGGCCGAGGTATTGGCTTGGGAGAGCTCCGGCGAGCTGTTGAGTTGTTGCAAGCACGAAGGCGAAGCCGTGACCGCCGAGCTTCGGGTATTCCGGTACGATGGCGAAGACGAAGGCTGTGGAGAAGGAAGCCACTCCAACGCCGCCGCCGCCCGCTGAGGAGTTTTTAAAGAGGAGGGGATAAGGGTAAAAGGCGCGGCCGATGAGGCGGCTGGTTTCATTAGTGAGCCGCAGTACACCGTTACTTTCGATCTCGGCTACACCGTTTAGGCTTACGTTTTTGGATCCGCCGACTCCGGCGGTGGTGTTGGCCGCGAAACCGGTGAAGATGAACTCGTTGTGTTGGGATGAGGCAAGGGGGAGGATAGGGAGGAGGAGGTGGACGAGAAAGATGAGATTTTTAGTCATGGGAGTTGAATGGAAGCCAGCGGAGACGATGGATATGAGATCAAGGCTAAAGTTTTGGGGGTTTTTTAGTGGATGAGACACGGCGTGGGACGCAGCAACCCTTTTTTTCTCCCTGTTGCCGTCTTCTCCAAGAAAATATCCAGATTTCGTTATTGGGAATTAGGTCAGGAGTTGAATGAAAATTGGACAAATACATTCTGAGAAAAAAGAAATGGATTATTATTATAATATGTTTGGTTTTATAATTAGGATTTATTTATTCGCTCTTTAATTCTGCAGGTCCCCGGACTCCCCGGCAGCTCAGATTTAGCTCAGTACCGTACCTCATTATTCAGGATTAGTGTTTTTAATTCTATGATTAGACCGATACATATTTATATAATGATCATTTTAAGATAAACTAATTGTGAAATCACAATTATCATGCAAAGAATATTACTAGATTATTGGGTCAAGAAACGAAGGGACTCTTTAGGCAGTCAATTTTCTCTACATGTTTAATGGAATAATAAGACTAGAACTATGATTTTCTCCATCTAATGACAGCCAAATTAATCCCATGTGACACTACCTCAGTGTTATCTTTCATCGATCTCATTACTATTATTACAAAATGAAATAGTTATACAAGTTTAGAAAAATTTTTAAATTGGGGCATAAATTATTTATTTAGAAAAAAATTTCTCAAGTTTCTATCCCAGCTTGAGTTGAAAAACTGTTTATAATAATCATCTTATTAGAAATTACCCGAAATATAAGACGTTGAGTTAAAATAAGTTCATTAAAATGTATGTTAGAAGCTCTCCAAAATACTCATGCATCTAATATAAAGTCTTGATCTTCATGTTAGAGTGTGAGTATCTCATTTGACTTCATCTTTACGGGCATCTTGTCCCTTTGATGGAACTCATGACTCAATCACGTCTTAGGGTCTGTTTGGGGCAGCTGCAGCTTATTGAATAATCTGCTGATAAGTTAGGTACTTTTTGAAAAGTCAAACCACTACCAGAAAGCTGCAACCGCGCCTAGATAGATGTGGTGTGAAAGCACTGTTTCCATCGTTTTGAAAACGCATAAGCTACCAAAACGTAGTTTATCCAAACAAGCCAGGTGCGTTTTCAAAATGCCACTGCACCAAATAAGCTGCCCCAAACGGGACCTTAATCCTTCACCATACATTAAGACATCATTCTCATGAATGAGTGTTATTGTAAAGTTTTTGTACTCATTCAAGAGCAAATTTACCATAAAAAGTGTTTTGTCTTCATCACCAACATTCTCATCTAAATTTAATGGATATATTAAAAATTTAATAAAATCATCCAAGTGCTCATGTATGGTAACCCCAAGTTTCCTCTAAAACTTGTAGAGTTGACACTTTATATTGAAATGATTCTCTACTTTCGTCATAGGATATTTATTCCCAAATGTTCTTCATAATTTTTTTTTTTGCAGAAGTCTCTATAGTCGCCCCATATTTAATTTTCTTATATAAGAAATTTTAGATAAAGTAAGAGCACCTAATTTATCTTCTACCAATTTATTTATGACCTTTTATCTTACATGATTTAATATATCACCTCTAATATTAAATAACATTAAACAACACAAAACAAAAATAGTAACTAACTCGACCATGTATGAGTTGGCCTCTTCCAATTTTTTTTAAAGTGTGAAAATATGAAAATAGAGGAGCAAGCTGTCAGTAAAAGATGAGAACGGTGACCAAGTAAGGCAAAGTGGTCCAAGCGCTAAGACAAAATGTCATCTCTCACCCCAACTTATGAAAATCACTAATTATTTCACTTCGCTTTTCATTTATTAAAAAAAGATGTAATTGCACGGATCTGTTTGGCTTACTAAGAGTGCCGTGTCAGTCAAAATTATGACTATTAATGCTTTATCGTGAAAGAAATTTATATCTGAATTCTTCTAGAAAAAAATAATTAAATAAAATTCATAACTATTGTGTTTATGATGAAAATAAGAAAGATATATCAATTTAAAGTTGTTTAAGAGCATTGGTGAGAGAGAGTGAGATGAAGATGAGGATCAAGTTCAAGGATAATCTCTTATTATCCCCAATCTCATATTTTGATATCTCATTTATAAATTTTGAATTTATTTTGATCATCATACGTGATTGAAAAAAAATATATTAATTTAAAATATATAATAATGTTTGATGATATGGCAAATCCAATAATAATGTATGATGCATCATCAACAAATTTGTGATTTGACATGAAGCTCGAGGTAATTAGTAAGTCTCAAAATATTTTTTTAGTAAGAAACTTATAAACTTAAATTAAAAATCAATTAAAATGTTGATTTCAACAAACTTATATCAAATTGTCCGACTCAATGAGATAGACCTAATTACATCAAAAATTGGTCTTATTTAAGTCAAATCAAACCTGAATTATGTTGTTAAGCAGCTTTTAGAATCTTTGATGCTTTTTTTAAAGTTTAAATGTATTTTAAATATGATAAGTTTATAGTAAAATCGAGTGTCTCAATAAGTTAAGTCCAAAAAACACTAGATAACTCCATTTCGACATGACTGAGGTACTTAAATGTCCATGAAATAATGTCCAATCGTGGAAATTTTTCTGGGAAGTTTGATGGAACAATTTGAAATCCTTCTTTATTTGCAAAGGAGACACTTCCATACTCTATAAATAGAGCTCTACCCCTTTCATGAAAAAGGGCTAGAGCTTGAACGAGAGGAAGAGCTAGAAATGAAGTTGGTTTAAGAAGGAATTGAATTACAGTGATGTTCTGAACCGAAGACCAAGTGAATGCTCTGGTTCCTCCCATCGCCGACCACTGTCAACCAACATCGCATGTTCCCCGTTCCTTGTAATAAAGCCCCTTATAGAGTAATGATGTGCTGCTTCAAAGTGCATCATTACATTAACTTTAATTTGTGTTGTTATACCATTGACTCACTTCAAAGTGCATATAATCCCCTCATCTTTGATGTGCTGCTTCAAAGTGCATCATTACATCGCATGTTCCCCGTTCCTTGTAATAAAGCCCCTTATATTAGTATATAATAACGCACTTCAAAGATGAAGTAACGATTGACTCCAAAATGGTATAACAACACAAATTAAAGATAATGTAATGATGCACTTTGAAGATGGTGTAATGAATCACTCCGAATAGGATATAACGACGCTTCTCAAAGACAATTTAATGACACACATATAATCCCATAATAATTGCTTACAACTATCATTCTCAAAATATGGTGACTTTCTCTTGACTAGACGACTACTAACATTCTCTCTTCACAACTTCATAATATGACATACTTGACCAACTATGCCCTATGTGGTTCATATCCCATTTAGCTCCCAATTCTGGCATCTTTGGCCTATGGACGTTGTTATAGCTCTCCACTACGACCTTAATGACTAATTACAGTTCACGAGGTCCATAACTCATGCAACTCCCAACTCACGTCTTTATGACCAACGGATACCACTACTGCTCACCACTACGACATAAGTAACCAACTATGGTCTACATGTCTCAAAGCTCATGCAACATCAACTCCTGCCCCTTTTAACTACATGTCTCAAGTGAACATATCTCACTTGATTAATTACATCTTGGGGTTGTCCAAGAATACTCTTGATTCAAAGGTGTTTTGCTTACATTAGTAGTGACAACTAAAAAATGGCTATCAAAGAACAATTGTTTTAGTGGAGTATACTCTGATGCTTTTAAAGCTCCCGCTAAGCCACAAAGAGAATAGTGAGTCTCTAACAACCTTACACGAGTAATGGGATCATCGACATATAGAGCTTGCGAAATAACTGAATCATTCTGAGGGGGAATCCCAATATTTCAAAGCACATTCGGGTCATAAAGGCAGATAACAAATTGTCGTATCTGAAATGAACGACAACATATCAATAATTGAACAAAATGCAACTTGTAAAATGTAAAAATAGTAGAGAGCCAAACTCGACTAAAACTCTCACATAAGTACATAGGGGTTTTAGCTCTTGGATTCGAATGTAGCCTCCTCCTGCTTTGGCGAGGATATGTGGAGAACTTCAACCTTTAATTTAAGTAAAAGAAAATGCTTGACTCAAATAAAAGGAGAAGAAGCTTACTAGGGAGAAATGTTGACTGAAGGAGGAAGAGAAGGCTTGTCGAAGGATGCAGTGGAGAGTACTAAGAAAGTTATGCCTGCCTTTATCTTCTTTGTGTAAATGTGTCCCGGAGGTCCTGACTATCAGAGTGGGCCAAGAGTCTTATTATTTATAAGCTAAGAAGGTAGTGGCAAAGCCTTCCATGTTCGTCCAATTAGGTTGTGGGTCAATGGTCATGATGAATCAAATAGTTAGAAGAGCCACAAATTGCCACCGGTGAAACAGTGTGACGATTTGTGCTCTAATCCATGGAGGAAGGCCACAAATTGATGACATGTAACTGGAATGATTATGTCGAGTGGTCAGTCTGTGATATACCTAGGCATGGTCACACCATGGGCTGGTGTGACCACTCTGAGAAGCTTTCACACTCTCAGGCCAGGCTTGGCCATGCCAAGGTACTTCCGAGCATGATCACACCTAGGTCCTGCATGGCCACATTAGGCAAAAAATGGGCAATGCAATGTTTTGGCTAATGCGGTTGCACCAGACCAAATGGTGATCTTTATGCCAAGTCCTATGTGACCAAAAAAGAGGTTAGCAAACCCCTTAATGGAATGTGGGATATAAGGTATCCACCCACCCCCTAGAAAGTCGAACCCAACAGGCAAGTCTCGTTGGAAAGCTCGTAGTGGACATGGTCCTCACTGGAAAGACTCCATGAAAGTAAGTGATTAATATGGTTTTCACTCGAAAATCTCAGAATGTTGCAATCCTCAAAAGATACATGTACATAAAAAAAGCCTTAGAATTTACAAATATCATAAAATATAGATTTTTTGGAAAACCTCAAAAGGCACAAGCCTCAAAAGATACAAATTTTTTATTCTTACAAAGTGCACGTGCTAACTTTGATCGTAGATTTCTACACATTAAAGAGGCCAAAAAGTCTCAAAAGGCTTAAGCCTAAGAAGAACTTGATGCCACTATGCTCTTATTGCAAAGATGAATGCACTAAAAATACCCTATAAGTAGGCCAACAACTGCCCAAATGTTGGGCAACAAA